TTTGATCTCCCGAATGCTTCAACTAGATTCACATTCCCATCTAACAAGATACTTGTTTAACTGCCCCAAATGACGGTGGCAGACACAAAAATAAAAAATTAAATACACATTGTATTTTAATACTAATAGGTACATTTATCACTCCGCTCAGAATATGAAATCGCTACAATGCTACATGAGAAATCAAGTGAATATTCAGTATTGTAAAAAATTTAAACTTATAAGGAATCTTGTATTACAATTCAAATCTTAGATTTAAAAAAAACCTTTTTCTAAATTTCTAACTCAAAATAATTTGCAAATTCTTGTGGTTTGTACGCCTTTTGTAAAAATTAAAAATGCCTAAAAAAAAATTGTGACATTGTATTTTGAATATTTGTCAACTGTCATTGTAACAATATATTAGAAGCCTTGTATTACATATCAAAGTTTTTTGACCCAAAGAATATAATTTTATTGACATTTATAGAAAAAATCTAAAATAATATTTGGCCCTTTCCAAAATCCTCGTGGAGACTACTGGACCATGGGGTATTTCCTAACCACATTGGTATTTCCAACATCCAGTCAGGTAATGAACTTACGGATAGGTTTTTAGAATCCATGCCCTTGAGATAAAGTGATCCGATAATTCGATCAAATGTAATTTCTATATGTCATAGGTATATTATACATATTTTGTTCTATGGTATAACGTTTCGACTATAGGTATTGTAGGTATTACTGCTTACGTCTCATTATTTTTACAAATCCACAGTTTAGCTAGTTTGGTGAGTAATAATATTATTCATTAAACTGTTGGCGTTATATTTTATCTCATAATATTCATAATATACTTACAATAAACCTACCAATATTATAATCAGTTCCTTATTGTTTGTTATTGTGATATTTGTGTAACACCGGATTTTAACGAAAAAAAAAAAGAGCATTAAAAGATTTGGTAAGAACCTAGTTTATTCAACAGTCAGATGTTAGAGTTAAAATAATTTCAGTCACTCCATAACAATATGACCATGATGGTTATAAAATAATAAATAATAATAATAATCCGTAGCACTATGTACCTATACTATATTAATAATAAAAGTATTATTAATAGTAAAAAATACAGTCGTAGGTAGGTATATATATAATCACACAACGAGTGTGGACGAGTGTGATACAAAGAGTTAAATAAAAAAAATTAAGATTGCAAATATTCAATTTAAGCTATTGATATTTTCAACTAATTATTCAACTTTGAGCGTGTATGAATATTTGTAGTGTGTAATTTGGCAAAAGAAAAAAATTAATATATTTTTTTTCCAATTCGCTGATAGTTGTATACCTTTGATCGGCACATTTTGAACACGTGGTCGAAAAATTTGATTAATGTACAATACACGTGACTCGACAGATGCAGACTTATTTTCATCGCCGTTAAATCGCATCACTTATTACAGACAATCACATGCTACAAATGTCCGATTATTATTCAGGTGAATAATTTTCTTGTAATCTACTTGCAATGATATGAACAGCGTTTTTCTACATTACATGTAGCTAATTTTAATGCAAATTATTTATCTTCAACCGAGACCCTCAGAAACGGTTATATAGTACCTATACATCACCATCATCGTCTATCAAATTCAAATTATACGTCAAGTTGAATAGAACTTTGTAATTCGCGATAATATGTATAAAAATGTAAATATGTTTACATATTGTGGTGCCTAATACCTATACAAGTATACAATTTACAATACATATCACATACTGCAGTGTAGCCCATACAGTGCAGCTTATAGCTCAGTGATGCGTTTTAAAATAATCGAATTAATGAGATGAGCCACATGATCAAATTATATGAAGTCGGTACATTATAATATGTTTGGAGTTGGGGTTTCTAATAATTAAAATAGTTAAATATAAATGTTTAGAAAAATTAAATCTTGTTACTTATATATCTCTAATTAGAATACTATATCCTGGCTATTGGTGACAAAAACTAATGACGTAGGTATGAAAATTAGATGACATTTTAACCTCCTGCTTAAATACCCCATAACACCGGAAAGAATTAGAATCCTGATTGTTGAAGGAATGCGTAGGAAAAATTTTGCATTATGCTTATGCACATTTCATAGAAAATGTTTTTTACAAGTACATAATTTTTCTTTTTATGCCTGGATTTTTCATGTGTTGTATATTTTAGTTCCTATTTTAATTTTGTTAAATTTGTTACCTATTTGAAATGCCTATAAAAAAATATTGTATTTTTGAGATTTTTAAATTTCAGAAAGAAATAACAATACATATTATTATGAAAAACCTTTTATTAAATTTATAAGTCTTGGCTATAAAAATTATAATTTTTGAGATTTTTAACTACAATAATTAATTTGCACCATTTTAGGGTTATGATGAAATTCAAAAAAATTTTAACTTTAAACACTTATAAGTTATAGAAAAAAATTGTGACTATATAGGTATACCTGTTTTAAATATTTTTAATCGAGGTAAAAAAAGTCAAAAATTTCAAAATCTGTAAATGACATTGAAGAGCCAATATATTTTGTCATATCTAATAAATGCAAATACGAATATTCATGTCCATAGTTCTTTATTTTTTAACTAAAACAAAATCAATTTTGTTGAAAACTGGCTTTTTAAATTAGTGTGAGGGACCAAACTCTTATGCGCCTGTATTTGGGAGGGGGGGGGTAATCGAAAAATATGTACTTGCTAATAGTTCATATTTTAGGTTTATTCGTATGCCACATTTTATATAGAACCTATATAGCTGCTGTTTGCTATTTATTTTAGGGGTACTTTTTATCACTTGTTGTTTTTAACATTAATGAATGTAAAAACTATTCTAGTACCTACCTAATCTCAATTTTAATATTATTATGTTAAATTTGATTAGGCAATATAACATTCATAATTGGTTGTGTACTTGTATCAAAGGTTGACTTATATAAGATATCATGTACATAATGTACCTTTAAAAACAAAAAAATAATAAAAAAAAAAGCAAATAAGTGCAGCGGGGTGGGAAATTTGTCCATCATCCCTTCGGTCCTAGGACTTGATAGTGTATGTGTATTATTATTACAGTATTCGATTTGAATGCAATGACTGCATTCGATAAAAAGCGGAGGATCAGTGTAACAATTAGTAATTAAATGTACCTAGAAATATATACTATAGAAATTAATATGTTTAATAAATAATATTATTTTTATTTATTATTTTTTTTTTTTTAAATCATTTATTTAAATGAATATTGACAAACTGTACTAGGGTGGCACAATAAGTAACATGTTTAGCATAATGGTATAATATTATATAATTTGAAATTAGATTCATAAATTATGTTTGTATTTAATAGTAAATTGAATGAACATAAGTAAATATAAATATAAATTCATACATTTTCATTATTTTAGAGGTTATTTTAAAATCGTATTCGTTTTTATGGTGAAAAACAAAGCGCTAGAAAAAAACAGCAATAGGGTATTTTGGTGGTTTTTCCCGTGGCATAAAAAACTATCGAGAAAATCGAAAATCTTGATCCAATTTGCTAAAAGATAAGATACTATATTATGCTGAAATCGAAGCACTCTTTCTGATAGAAATGTTGTTTACAGGATAAAAAAAATAAATACATAAATAAACATCATTGTAAAACCATTAGCTTCCTCGCTCTGCTCAGAAAATAAAATACATAGTTAAAACTCGTGATATTATAAGGAAAATACAGATTCATTTAATGATTCAGAACAATAATTTTTTTCGGTAAATCATAAATAATAACATGATAATATTAATTCTAAATAATATAAAAGGATAATGTAATTCAACTTAGTCTAAAATATAGGTAAGTGTTACACAACACATGCAAACTGCAAAGTCACTTCTAAATTATAATGTTAAAGCTAATTAATGTTCTTAGTGTTAGACCTATTCAATAAAATAAAATATGTAATACAGTTTAAAATTAAAATAAAATTATTTATAAGTATATATTTATATATTATAATATGAGCAATGACTAATTGTTTTTTAGATATAAAGTAAACATTGGATTCGGGTGGGTATAATAATATTATGTACCTAATAGTAATATGCATTACAGTTATTTACTTAAAATAGTGTACAGTGTTGCTATATCAAATCGTGAGCATATAATTACAAAATATATAGTGTTAACTTAAAAACAATTTGTAGAAAACAGTGTAAAAAAAAGGAAAAAAAATCAAGTTTAACAATATTATCAAAGTGAACAACACGCGTAGAGCTATACATAATACTTTGTATACCTACACAACTGTTACCCGTATATACTATATTATAATTACATAGTGTAAATTTGTAAAATGTGTATGTAAATTGTAAATAATATTGTAAAAGTCCTCTTACAAATTCGGTTAGTGATATCCATGAATTGGCTCCTATATAATATTATGGCTGTATATTATAGTATGAAATATCGATACAGATACCTAATGTATTTTTTAATTGCCCTACAAACAATGTTTTTTCTATGTCTTATTCTCGTTTTAAAACGTTCGTTTGAAAATAAATTTGTTTTCTTGCGAAACATATTGTCCAATACGATTTTGTTTAGAAAAGCCAACCCCGGATTTCAATATTTGGTACAGTGTATAAGATATAAACTACAATATTATTATAAGTTGTAATATAATAAAATATATTATATTAAATATCCACGTCTCGTCGTACCGTATAATAATAACTATAATACACTAACTCGTACGATGCGTTATTAATTATCATAATACGCGCGTGCGGTTTAATACGAAGCTTAAACGTAATGCACTATAATATTTGAGCTTCCGCACGAGGTATGTAGCGATCGTAGGGATGGGTGGGTGGGTTATATACGCGAGTGGGCGACCGCGATAATGTCGACGGCAACGTAGTGCGCGCGATAACGACGATGACGTGTCGCACGACGCCGCCGATGATGATGTGCGGGTGCAGGACTGTCAGTGCACTCCTGGTGCGGTGTAGTTGTTGCCGGTGGTGTTGGTGACGGCGCCGGTGACCGCCACTTTCTGGAACGCACCAAATATCTCGTAGACGCTCGCGTACGTACCGGTAACGAACCCGAGAGCGCCCAACACCAGCGTGACGCAGTTCATCGCCAACCGCCAGTTGAACGAGCCGTAGCCGTTGCCGCCGTCGTCGGCACTGGTGACGGCCATGTGGCACAGTGGCGGGAATATCAGCGCCAAAAACGTGCTGGCCACGGCACCCATCATCGATATGAACAAGCTCAGGTGTGGTATCACGTCAGCAGCGATGACTGAAACACGCGAGGTCACGAACACGTGTTATTCAAATAATATCGTGTACCTACGTAATTAGACCCGCAATTCGGGTCTTAAGACTCGAGTGCTCCTAAACTCAGTCAATATAGTCTTTATAGTCATGACTATGTAATAGTATATAGTTAACTTTACTCGTTTAAAATTCTATTTTTATGTATCGAAAAATCTAAAAAATATTCTACTTCGGAATTTGAAATAAAAATGTATTTATCATTAAATAATGAATAATAAATAATGAATATAGACATAAAAATAACAGAGTTTGGAAAAACTATTCTAGATTGGCCGAAAATACCATACCATGGTGACATGGTACCTATAGGTAACTATAATTACCAAAAATACCATGTATAGAGAGTTATTTAAAATACCCTATTACTGGTTACACCGCCGATACCGGCGTAATCAAAATTTGAAATACCACCAGACTCTAATTACAACTTATGCTATTTATATAAAATGTAGATATTATAAATACCTATAACCAGCTGTTGTTGTAGATTAAAAATACACATACAATTTTATATATTATTTTTTCTTCAAGTATATTAATTAATATATTAAATCCACACCACAGATATTCTCCATTTTCCCACACCCAGGTTACGAACAGAAGAACGAAAATAAAACGTTGTCGTCTTACACCAACAATTGTTTTATTAAGGTTTAACGCACTTAAAATATCAAGTAATACTTGTTTTCCCTCTAAGAATGTAAGAGATACCGCCAGCAAACACTAAAACGTATCCTGCACACTTCAAGTATTGCCCGTGTGCATATATGACATATAACTGTATATGATCATTATGATGTTATAGAAATAATTAGAATACAATAAGTCATCACGTACACGTGCTCTCTCGAGTACTCACAATCCACAAGTAGGTGCCTAGGCACTAGGCAGAATATTTCAATGTGAGACTAGAAATAATAATAATAATAATATGTTGACATATAAAAACCGAATAAATCCAAGACGTGAATGAAACGTCATACAAAAGAGTTGGAACACGCGAACTAGACTTTTCGTATTATAATCTGACACGTAAGCTATAAATGATTTTCATTCACGCCCATGGCGATGCCAAGACGTCGTGTATGATATTAAAGCATTAATAGATGGACCACAAGCCCCGTTTGAAATTGTAAACAAATAATAATCGTTAATATTTAGATACTGACATGTAATGAGCACCAGTACTACACGTAAACCCGTATCCCACAGTAAAGGTGATCTGAAAGGTCCGAATCTTTGCTCGACTTTTGGCCATAAGATTTCCACTGGTACGTAGAACTGCAATGTATAAGTGCATATGATACCGAACATCATACTCGAAATGACGACTTTGGACAACCTGTGAAATTCAACGTGTTTGGGTTACATGTAATAAATATAATAAAATCGTGTAATACACTTACAAAAATTCTTCTGGTAAGTTTAAAGTGAGGCTGCCTCGCACCGAGTCTCCGAATCTCCAATACCCCATAAAACCGGTAAGCACTATGAGACTCGTAACGATAACCATGCCCACGTTTAGCACTCCGAACGCAGTAGAGAACTGTTTTGGCTTCTTCATTTCTTGCTCTAATGGTAAGACCTGGAGTATAAAAGTTAAATATAGATTTAAGAAAAAAAAAATGTATATAATTTACTATCAAATTTTATTTAGATAAAATTTACCAAACTAATTCCTTCGAATGAAAAGATACTGGTGCCGAAGTATAGAGGTATTGTCGTCCAATGAGCAATGGCGGATCTTGAAGACAGTGGCGGTAAATCAATGGTACAATAGTACAGAATTACGACCAGGCCCACGAGCATACACACATTTGCTATTGCAGACAGCCGGGCGATGAATTTTAAACTTCTGATGAGCGATGAAATCATTATTGGCACCATCGATATCAATATACTGACGTGCACGTCTAATTCTATGTTATACCAGCTCAACATCTAAAAACGCATATTAAATTAAGTAAGTATGTTACGTTTATTTATTCTTTTAACTACGGTCTGTGTATTCATAATTTATACTCCAGGTACCTTCAATATTATGGTTACCTATTAATCAATTAGTCAAGTAAAGAAAAAAAAAGTTGAACAATTATAAAATAAATGTATAAATACATTTTTTAAAAAAAAACTCGGGGAGACGTCTTCTTGAGAAATCTACAGTAAATTATTAAATTAATTGTATTATTGTGACAAATATTATTTTTATTGTCTTACTACAACTTTATATTTCCTTATGTGAATTTATATAGTTACAAATAAATAAACAATATCTTTTATTAATATTTAAATTTAAATGGATTAAAGGGTAACACATCAAGGTTTCAAAATAACACGTTATAAAACGTATACATAATCAATTTTAGTTTTAAATATTGTATACCTTTAGTGTTACTTAAACATATTAAAATTCATTAATAACATTACACAAATCATAGTACTAATAAATTGTTTATATTTTTGTAAAAATAAAAGCAATTTGATACAATGTCGTAATTTATTTAACTCTAGCTTGTGTAGAACATAAATCCGCACAAATATGTATTTTATTAATATAATTTAAAAGGCTATTAATTTTCTTTAGAATGTAATGTCGTGGTGTTCAATAACACCAAAAGGCTGATATACTTTTTGCAATTATTTTTAATTTTAATTGTTTGAAGACAGTTCATAGTCATAATAAACTAATGAAGCACAGATTTATCATTGATTATATTCTTTTAGATTTTGTTTATGGCTGAAAACCAACCGTAATAAAAGTTTGATATCCAATTACTTGTTAGTTATACAATATAAATTATCCTACATTTACGAGTTTAATATTATAGCTTCCTCCAGAATAATCCTCACATTTAAATAAAATATAAATATTGTACAGTAAAAACACATTTTAGAAACAATAATTTACTTTACCTGCTGAATAGATTTTGATACAAAAAGAATATAAACACAACAAAATCCCAACTGAGTGATGACTATAAAACTATTCACACTATTCCTGCACAACAAAACAAAACAATTTTAGCAATTAGTAAATACCTACTACTGCTAAATATATACATATATGCATATATACATATATACATATATTTGTAGAACTTTATCAGAACATATTTCAACACGATTTTAAGTCGAAAGTAATTCTTTAATAAATGATCCATTGAGGAATATTAATTTTACAATAATAATCACGATATAAAATTAAGTAATTTTTTTTCATACTCTGTAGTGATTGTATAAATTATTTAATCAACGTGTTTTATACAATTTAACTAAAACTATGATTAATTATAATTAATATTAGTTTATTAGTTTATTTATATAGTTAAAACTGCTGAATGCTGATGGTCACTTACCGAAAAAAAACTGAGTAACTTTGAAATCGCTGTGGTCCAGTTTGAAAAGATAATTCTACTGTCTCGGCAAATTGTGGATTGTGTTGTAATTTAAGTTTTTGTTTGACACTTTTTGAACACTGCACCTAAAAATATAATAAATTATGTTTATGTAAAAATTGTATATAGTTATTCCTATACAGGCTGATTCACCAAGCATGCTCATTCCTTTTTTCCCTTTTCATCGTGCGTTTATTCAAATCACGATTTTTGGAACTTTAACTATTGATACTTTAAAAATATATTATAAAATGCTTCTACTTTTTATTATATATTATTCTTCGGCGCTACAAAATTAATTTTTCAATAGACAACCAATTTTTTTTACTGCAAATTGTTTATTATGATTTGCTTAAAAATATTTATATAAATCGACATTTGAATGAGTTGATCTGTGTTTCTTTATGTTTCTAAGAATTTTATCCATAGGTAGTAGGTTCAAAAGATATGCCCATAACCCCATATGGGAGTTCGGATTATTTTAAAATTATAAAACTTAATTAATATTAATAAATATCAACATTTTTGCTATAAAATATACTATTAAGGACTCATGGTACATTGGTACATAAAGTTCAATAATACAAAAACTACTCAGATTCTGAGATACATCAATATTTTCAAAAAAATCATGGGTCATACGTCCGCATGTTTGTCCTTGCTTACAGCTTAATATACTTAAATATACAACAGTAATTGTGTGTTGATAATTGTAGTATTAGAATGAATTAATGAATTATCAAACCTAATGGTAAATACACTATCTGCCTTTTAAAATTGGTTTTTTATTCATCATTTCAATTTTTAAGCGTGTTATGAGCATTATTATACTATTTTTTATATAATATTTTGAGTACTCGTATAACTTGCATATAACAATTTATAAATATTGTAAAAAATGATCTTGGAGTACCTACCAGTTGCGCACTCACACCGTTTTTTTTCCATGTGTGAAAAATGTTTCGTTTACATCCATAGCTAATGTATTATATTTATTACATTAAAGTTGAGCAAGTAGATCATGCTAAGTGTTTTTTTTTACTATTGCTACTAAAAATTATAAATCGTACTCTACAATTGGATTAGATACCTAGTACCTACTATCTATTGTAGGTATACACAATTGATACAATAATATTCAAAGATCATTTTCAAAAATATTTTTCAGCATACATTGTTTCTTTGAAATCTAAAAAGAGACCAGGAAGTTCTCAGATTGCGAATAAATAAGGAGTGTAATATTTTATCAACCCGATAACCCATTAACTCTCGCATTGTGAAATGGTCTTATTTGTAATAAACTGAATAAACATTAATAATTTGACATAATATTAGTTGAAATGGGAAATTTTAACAAATTATTTATTTTATCGAATCAGATTTTAAATGATAATTTCTATTACACCTCCATTTATACGTATCATGAATTAATTCAAAGAGCAACTCGTTAATAGTTACAAACTATACTAATGGCATACAAGTAACTAAATACATTACGAAGTCGCCAATGTCTGTAACTTTATAGCTGCAGAGGCCAGTATAGTTAAGTACTGCCTGAGCTTATAGAATACCATCATACGTATAAAAAACCGAAATACTTTCGTTGAATGAAATAATTGTATAATAATTGCTTACTAATACGTGTTGATTGTAAACACAAATGATTCCAATGATAAATGTCAACACTGGTGACAAAAATAATCCTCCGTTTTTAAATGCGTCTCCCATAGCTAAAATTCCGCATCCAACGTTTCCTTTCAACATGTTCACCAGAGTATCTAAATAACTAAAACGATTTTCAAAGCTTACATAAAGTAATTATATGATTTTATCAAGAAACGTATATTGTACATAGTTTATAGCACTTACGAAGTCGGATGGGCAGTTGGATTATAGACTATAGACAATATGCTAAGTCTGTGCTCGGCATGTTCTCTTTTTATTTGTTCGGTTCTGCCATTTGACCGAATATTTACACAGTCTGATTTCCATTTCTCTTTGGCCATGTTACCGTTCTCGATCATTAAAAGCGACGAAGTCTCGTCGACGGCGGACTTAGGTGATCTCGATTGTTCGGATAATATTTCACTTGCAGCCTCGGAGAGTTCAGCCTATAAAAGTTAATGAATAAGCAGATAATTAATTTGAATTCTATACATATATATATATATGATTTTTAAACACAAACTTCCACTGTGTAAAATATTACAATGTTTATAGACTTTTGATTTTAAAAAAGATTCAAATGATTATTATAACATTGCAGTAGATGCTTAAGGATAAACGCCTGTATAAGAACCTTTACTATAAAATTATGATTAAATATTATAATGGCAGTTATATTATTATACACCGCAATCACATTAGTTTCAGACAGTATATCATGTATAAATTAAAATTTTTTTTTACTATCAGATTAAAATAAATACTATACCTAAACAACGGTAAATAGTCAATTATTATATAATATAGGTATTAATCGACATTGCTACTTTATCGATGGATCTTGGATGCTCTTAAAATTTAAGTACGGATTTTATTTTTAGTGGTAAAACTGTTATTAAAAGATGAGAAACAGCATTGTAGATGAATTTGAGGGCGTAGAGGAAGAAGATTACCGATTAATAGATCAACACCTAACAAATTACGTTGATAAATACCTATTTAGGTATGGTTAATTTTTAGATATAAATTGAAATCATACATATTATATGGTAAAACCATTCCAAAAAATATCTACCATGGCATTAAATCTCTTACCACCTGTGGTTTGATATATTTGCGAGTAGGTACCTATATAATATTAAACGTATATAGTTCAAAGTAAAACAACATTCAATAGTAGGTAACCTGCATGGTACACAAAAAAAAAAATACTAAATATAGATGTTTAAATACACGTATAATCATTGATTTTAAATACTATAGTGTTTATAATTGTAGATTATACTACTATTATAGCATTAAACTATTATTTACAGTTTATACTAGCCACTAGGTACTATACTAGATAACTAGTGTTATTATAGTCAATGGTATATTATCTAGGTACTAGTATAATATTATAAAAGGTGAAACATAATGACCAGATTGATGAAATAACTTAAGTTCAGTTAATAATTTATTATTTTTTTTATAATTTTTAGACGATTGCGCTACAAGTACAAAACCTGTGAATTTTTGTTTTTAATTTTTAATACAAAAAATATTGAGTTGAACTAAATTTTTTTGGGGGAAAATTCAAAATAATCAATTTGTAAACATATGTAATTTTTAGAAAAAATGTTTCTAGTAAGAACATTTATTTTTTAAAATTTCTTTAAAATATCAATATATTTTTGGAAGTAAGTAAATTCGAAACGTAATAACTTTTTTCAAAATATTGTTTTTGGGAATCAGACATAAGTAATTCTTAAATTATTATTTATTATCCATTTATTTTCATAATTCTTTATTTGTCTGGCCCTTCTGTTACACTCTGTATATGCAATTCATAAAATGTATCGATAGAGATACACAATTGTGACGAGACATAATATACGCACAGTGCACTGTGCTGCAGTGTGCAAAAAAATATACAACTTTTGCATATTTGTATAGAACTTAAACTATCCTATACCAATATTGTATTTTTTAACTTAAAATCTCATTCAATTCTTATCTACATTTGTATTAACAATTATAATTTATATTTACAATGGAAATTAAGCTTCTAAATCAAAATATTTTAAGTATATCTATCTACATTACTAAGTGGATTACATAGATAATAAAGACAAAATTCTCATATGTGTGTTTGTTATGTGTAAGTGTGTATTGTAAAAGCTACCAGTAAGTATATTAAATAATAAGTCATTCTTTTATCAAACAGCTAGATAATATGCAAGACGTGCATCTAATCTATAGAGGCATATGACATTTTAAGCTTAAGATTTCTATCCGACGTACATCAACAAGAAAAAAGGTAATTAAATAAAAATGTTTGTCTGTGTCGCGACTTCCAATTATAACTTCTGACTTCTGAGGCCATAATGATATGTATGTAAGCATTCAATTTGACTAACTATATAGTTAGTAGTTACAATACTGTTCAATTTCGTTATCAAAATTGCATAATTGTTTATAATTATTACGAATTGATAATAAATAGATTTTTTTAAATTATGTGACTTAAGGATATTGATTTAATTGCAATTTGAATATAATAATTATAACTTCAAAAAAATTGAATACAACATTTTGAAATCATGAACTTTTTAACAAGGTAAAAATGACTTTTTTTTATTACTCGTATAAAGAACTCGAATATCCTAATTTTTAATATAATATATCTACATTTAAATTGTTTTAATCTATATTGTTAAAAATGTTAATTCTTGATGGATATAATATGTAAATAGTACCTAATTAATAAGTGTATGTATGCACATGTAACGCATTTGCAATGTTCATCGTTGAATTGCATTCCCACACTACAATAAACTTTGAACGAGAAATATAATAATTACTCATAAATCATAATACACATATTACATACACGTAAGCTAATAATTTTATTCCCTAAATAAATGCAAGTGAATACCAGTAGGTACATACCTAACATTAATTATATTATTGAGTTGTTCAACAGTTTTAAATTTGTCTATAATAATATAATATATAATTCATATTATAGAAACGTATGATTTTTAAACAAGATACATCGGGAAAATGTAAATAAAAAATACAATCATAAGCAAATTTAAACTTTGATTTTTTAATAAATATTTGTTCAAAATTTTGATTTAAATCCTTACTGCTTTCAGATCGGTAGAAGCCATTAATTTTAAAACGTCATTGCCGTTTATCGATGAGGTAATCTCTTCTGCGGGTAACATGATTATTCCGATTAAAATATCCCGTGTGGTAAAATTTTTTTTAAAAAAAAAACCTTCCTGGGAAACCAAACTTCACCGAACTACCGAATCAAATAGCGTCTAGTTATGAACTAACGTGACCCTCCATTTAGATTTAAAGCAAACAATCGACTATACAGATATAGTAGGTAAAATTAATGTTAATGAACAATATCGCTCCTCGTATCACCTTGATAAAACCTACCTCTTTAATTTTTCGTACAATCTAATTGAAAAATCAATTATTATTTTTATAAAGAGCTACTTGAAAACGCACAAGGTTTATAGATAACTCACAAGTTTAACGAATACCGATTTATTTTAATACAATTTAGCTGTATAAATTATTGTTGTAGCTATTACTATATAAGAATTGTGGGCTTTTAAGTATTTAATATTACGCTTTCTCGAAAAATAAAGCATATTATTATATTATTTTAAGAGGTAAGTAGGGTATATAAACATAAAATATTATTATAGGTACGATTACAATAAATGTGATGTAAATGTGTTACACTACAAATTCGTAATAATAATAATAGTGTTAGTCGAATGATTTTCATTGGAGTTGAATTTGAATTTTATCTACATGCAATATTGTGTCATCCAAGATTATAGGCAACAGTAGCTTACTGGGTTATTTTTATTTATTTGTTTGCCTTTACATTTGAAATAGAAAACAAATAATTTTTTTTTTGTCAATTTAAAAATGTAATAAAAATTCTATTGGATATACGTCTAGGCCACATAGATTCTGCTATATTTTATTGTAACTTGTAAATCGTAATAGTCCAATATAATATAATCATATAGATACGTTACATCAATAACTCCATATTAAACTGATAATGTACCTTACTTTATAACTTTACATTGAGTTTCAAAATTAAAAGAACAAAAATAATTATTAATTTTCTTTTATATACCAATTATGTTTTATTTTTCATTAAATCAAAATTAATTGATATTTACTTATTTGATTATTGAATATTAACCGAATTAAAACGTCAGTATAGAATATTAAAAATATAACGTAGGTAGGTATTTACATATATTAATATTCAAAACATTCTAACCGTTTAAGTATTACCTATACTAAATATTTTTATAGATCCACTATAGATTTTCTAATATTCAGGTATCAACTAGGTACCAAACTACCGTATATAGTCATAGAGATGTATAATATTAGTGAAATATATTGGTACCTACTACCTACAGTACCTAATTTATAAAAACTTGTCACTGATGTTTTACTATATATTTCCGCCTCTGTGCTGTGAACAATCTCATATTTTCCGTTTCTGTTATGAATGGAAATGTTTATTATAATAAATAATAAAAATTCTAAAATTAGATTACATCTTATCTCGAGTGAACAAAGTTCATAGTATCATTTTTTACAACTATCGGTAATTACTGACGTGACTAGTTGTATATGGATCGATATATTTATTTAATGCAGATAATTATCAAATTTTACTGTACAGTCCGAAATGATCAAATAAACAATACTACCACATTAAAACACCATTTTTCATTCTGGGCGGAGCGATAGTAAGATGAACAAATGTATTGGTTTTACAATAATATGATGTATTGATGTGTGCTTTTTTTGCTTTAATTTTCAACATTGAGATTGGTTTCTGATACCAAATTGGATCAATTTTTTTGAGGCTTCGACAGAGTGTAATTCGCTGTACTTTTTCCAAATAAAACATTATGGGAAAACAGCAATATTTACGCAAAACCGGTTTTTGACAAATCGATTTTGTTTTTTAGTTATAATTTAAAAATAAATAATGGTGGATACTTGAAATTTTCACATACATTTACAAATAATTTGACTTGAAGATCGTCAAAACCCCGAATATTTCTCAAATAATTTTGTAGTTAAAAATATATACACCGATGTACAATTTTAAATTTTAGTATCTATGGCTTGAAAGTTTAATACAAGGTTCCATTTTTTTTTTTTGGAATTTTATAAAATGTTAGCATAAAGTCATATTTATAATATGTTATGAGTCATAGTACAATATGGCCGATTAAAGTTAAAATGTTAATGACATAGGATACCTATAAACGTATGGTATACAATTTTTGTTATTTTTTGCAAAAATATTATTCAATCGTACAAACTTGAAATATTCCACTATTAGGTAGGTAGGTACTTAAATTATCGTTACCTGTATATAATGACATTTCAAATTATTATAAGACTAATTGTAAGCTATTATTATAACTAATTCATTTAGTACCTACGAAATACGAATTTATGAACACTGTTGAACCTTGTACAGCATTGACTTAAAAGTGATATAAGAATACAGGATGTTTTAATTACAATAATAATTATAATAATAATATGATATACCTAATACCTAAGAAATAGGTATTAAAATAATCAATAATATACTATACAATAAAATATTATGTGATGTTTTTCGCCAAAATAAGTTCAAGAGTTCTACATATACCACGTACTGCAGATAAAAAACTATTGCTATAATTATTCATTTAATATTCCTATCCCCTTCGACCCCATAATAATAATATTGTACAGAGTGATTCACCAAGCATGCTCAAGGCTCACCCTCTTTTTTTCGTCAATAACACAGTTATTTAAAATCTGATTTTTGCAATTATTATTAAATATACCTAAAGATATAATTTAAAAATTCTTGAGATTTTTTTTTTAACTTCTTATAATGATGGTCGTGTTATATAACGATGTGTGATAATATCATTATAGAGTGTCCTGTGGAGATATAAACTTCTGATTTTCAAATGAGACTCCCCCCCCCCCCCTTATCAACTGTAAATTATTCATCGGATAACTTTTCTGGAAAATTTTAAGTAGGTGCTTATCAGAATCAAAAGTCGTACGTGTAGTTTTTGAGTTATTTAACTTTGTGTTCTAAGGATAAAAATACCGTGGTAATGGGTTTTACTGGCCATGGAGACTATTGTGGTTTGAAATTTTAGTAATTAATATTAATCTATCGATATTAATAATCTCTAAAAATGGTCCAAGCGTAAATAAATAATAACTAGCTCCAATACCTATCATGTCTATTTTATATTTTTTTAAAACCTTTTAAGGACTATTATCCTTAGTGTGAACATTTTAATAACTAAGAAACTACCTACTCATTCAAATTTTGAACTAAGTACCTACCTACATCAAAATTCTCAAAAAAACTATCCACTAAGTAATTTGGAGTAAAAAGTGGGTTCACATTTGCAAAACAGAATTTTGTATCGCTACAGGACACTCCTTAAGTAGTATAAAAAAACTCAATCACTTGAAAAAATTGTCTGTTTATATTTAAAAATTCCAAAAATCAGAATATAAATAACTGTGTTATTGAAGAAAAAAGGGGGTGAGCATGCTTGATGAATCACCCTGTATAAGATATGGTCGAAGGGAATAGGAATATTAAATAAATCTTTATAGCACTAGTGCACTAACTATAAGTAATTTATTTTTCTATTTGTAGTACGTGGTATGTATAACACTTAAACTTATTTTGTGTTTTAATAATGGACGTAGTGAGTGTCTATATGACTATATAGAGTTGATTTTTTTTCATTTTATCTGTGTGCTCTGCCCAGGTTAGTCATAGGTAATTCCGAGCCTCCAAGGTGATTGGATTATTTATTCGTGAATTTTTGGTTCACATAAAAAATGACTGAATTAATTTAGTCTGTTTTCATTTAAAATTTAAATTTTATTTGATCACATCCTATACTTATGCTGCAGAATAACCATTAGCAAAAACTGGAACCTAAAATCAATCTATGTGACTCTATAGTCTGTATTGATCGAACATATTTGCTACCTACTTGAATAACTGCAAGCTGCAAATATTCAGTTTTTGTATCAATACAACTCGATAAATAACTAAATCTAAATTACACTTATGCATTACCTTTAAAAATTAATTCTACTTGTAAATGCAAATTTTTTTTAAATATTTATTGCATCTATATATCTATATATATATACACCTAAATAATATATTATATTATAATACTAAATAAAATATTAAATTACCTACGTGCATTTATAAATAATTTTATTTTCCTTCACTTGTATATTTTTTTTGACAATTATGTATTTAAAATTTGATTGTTTATAATATTTTAGTACAATTTCTTATCGATTATTAAGCATAGAAAAGTGTAGAATTATGTGTGAAGTAGGTGACACTGTCGACTGTCAACTTCCTACCCCTACAAATTATAACTTAAAAATAATCAGTCAAAATTACCGTAAAAAAGTATTTTTTTTTTTTATAAATTAAATAAATATTTGCATAATACAAAAAGTTAGTATTGTATTTATCACAATACTATTACAATGTATAAAGACAGGTATGCATTATAAATTATTATTGCGGACAATACAATACCAATTAAATATTTGAACAAAATGTTTGGCAACATAATAGTATATATATATACGTTTATGGGGAACTAAAATTGAATAACAAAACATTGACAAAACCGACGATAGACATTACTTCAAAGTTCCACGAAAATACACACGTGTTTTTAATAAACTGACCCACATGAGAGGTACTCTACTGCTCTAAAAAAATCTAGACGATTTTATTTTTTATTATTATTGCGAAGGATGAATTTTACTTACACAATCAAATGGGTACACATTTTTTTTATTGGCGAATAATAGAATCAGTTAAATAATTATTATTGGCTCATCCTGTTTAATTTATTTTTTATAAGTATAATAAGTTTATCTCGTCATAGTTGATTTCAAGTTTAATATTAAATTTAGTGTGTTTTATAAAACGCCTAATTTAAAATATATTATGTTTAATATTTTAATTATTTAGAATCAGTAGGTATCCATATGCTTTCCTAGATCATTATTCGTTATTACACGTTATACTTGTACGCAGACTTCACTCGGAATCAAATTTGAATTTATGAAGTAAGTAGGTTATAGGCACCAC